GGGGGGCTCCGTTTGTCTCGACTTTGACACCCCTTTTCTCCTTGTAAATAGGCCAGGCTGGACCGTGGGAGGCGGCTGCCTCGGGCTGGGGTTCGTGTGGGGCTCGGGAGGGGGTGGTCTGGTCTTGGTTTTCCCTCTGTGGTACAAACCCCATGGCTCTGTGTGTTTGCATCCTGTACGGCGTTTTAATGTCCTGTAAGATAGCCCGGTGTCCAGGTATTGTTCTTGGTTACACATTTGTATGGATACAGCTTTGTAAATGTAATAAATGCTGCAGACTGGCCTTCCCGCCTGCACAGGGGCAGCTCCTGGTGCCTCTGTCCCAAATCCCACCGGTCCCTCAGTCCCAAATCCCACGGGTCTCTCTGTCCCAAATCCCACAGGTCCCTCTGCCCTGCATCCTGCAGGTCCCTCTGTCCCAAATCACACAGGTTTCTTTGTCCTGCATCCCACAAGCCACCCCATCCCAAATTCCACAGGTCCCTCCATCCCCAATCCCAAAAGTCCCTCTGTCCTGCATCCCATGCGTCCCTCCATCCCAAATCCTGTGGGTCCTTCCATCCCAAACCCCACGGGTCTGACCATCCCAAATCACACAGGTCCCTCCATAAGAAATCCCATGGGTCCCTCTGCCCCAGATCCCACAGGTCCCTCCATCCCAGAACACACAGGCCTCTCCATCCCAGAACACACAGGCCTCTCCATCCCAAATCCCACAGGCCCCTCCATCCCACATCCTGACGGGCACCCACAGCTCTGGCAGCGCAAAACCGCTCCTGAAAAACCCCACTGTCCACAGGATTCCTTCTTTCCCAGCTGCTGCTGCTTCGCTGCAGCTCCTCAATAATTCAGATTTAATCGGGGTGGGGGCTCAGCATCTCCCCCCTCCCTCCGTGCCCTCGAGTGGGACGCACATCCCGGTGGTCCCGAGTGCATCCCGGTGGTCCCGAGCTCCCGTGGGCTCCACGTCAGGGCCGGGGGGGCAGGGGGGCCCCCTGCACCTCCTCCCCGTTGTGGGTGCCGTCGCAG